GTAAAAAGTTGCTGAGTTTGTCGTATAGACATTTGATATTGAGGCAAAAATATTGCTTTGATGTCATTTGGCTTGTACTTGTCAATAGTTATCCATTTATGTAAAAACAGAAAATTGCTTATTGTGTAAGAGCAAATTAACATGGGTAAAACAAATGTTTATGAAATGAAGACAGTGGCTAGAGCAGGTGCCCATTTCTGTTTATTTGCGTAATAAATAACATTAAACTCTAGTAAACAAACACCTTCAAACCTTACCGCATGTATGTAAATACATTGACGTTGTGGTTTGTGGCGCCTCCAATTTGCAATTGCTTATTCCTGTTAGAGACTGAGGATAACATACATTTTTTATATCCTTCTAATATTCTTGTGAAAGATAGTAATGCAAATTTGTCCTGCGAGATGGATCATTTGAAATTATTGCAGAAATTTTCATTCCATGGCTAGTTTTCCTGTCATGGGGCGTCAAAGTTTCCCAATATTGAAAACGTTCTTCAATTTAGTTCAACATATATCTCAAATCTGATTAATTTAAGCATACTAAATTTGAATTTCACGCATACATTTTGATATAATTTCAATATTTATCACGTAAAAGCATGTTTTTTTTGCACAATTTTGTATTTAAAAAATCCGTCAGCTTGAATAGCAAGACGGTTTATTATAGAACTTACTTTGGTGGATAGGGATAGGGTTAAGTTGTATCAAGGTGCTTGGGTTTAATTTTTTTGGGCGTCCCCCTTATAATGGTCCCTCTATTGCGATTGCACTGCCCTAGATTTCGTCAATACAGTCAAGTAAAATCGATGGCTCTCTAGTTGTTAGTGTACAATTGGGTTGGGACATGAATTTTTTTATTTGGATATTTAGAAAATACGCTTATGCCATTGTGCATTAAAATTTTTCCTCCGGTCCAAAATGAGTTTTGAGATCATACAGTGTTTTGGAAAGCGCCGCTGCTTCTATATGACATCGGAGAGGAATCATAACGTCACTTTTCAGTAGTCTGTTATAAGGCGAAAAGAAAATTGCACTTATGTATTACAACGAAGATGCGATCAATATCATTAAAGACAGTACAACTGTAGGGGGGGGCACCCTATATCTATCCCTACATCTAGCAAGGAGGAGTAGAGATAACAATGGAAGAAAAAGTAGGAAAAGAGCGAATATAAAGATAGGAGACGAAAGATTAGAAGAAGTGGCTGATTTTAGGTATATAGGAAGTCAGATAAGTCAGGGCGGAAGGAATAGTAGGGATATAAAGCAGAGGATATCGCAAAGTCGAGTCGCCTTCAATAAAAAGAAGTCACGTCTATGCTTGCTAACGGCTAATTTAGAAATTCGAAAAAGATTGTTGAAGGTGTATGTCTAGAAAAAAAAATTGTCGATTACATTGAGATGCATGAAAATATGTTACACATGTCGGCACCTTTAGGTGTGTTAAATCGTATTTAAACGTACGTACAACATTGTAAAATAATATCTTCCGGTTTTTATGCCGCCCGGAATTCTCCGTCGGTCTGCAAGGGGTCTTATTTTAGTCCCTATAGGTGGTAGTAATACAGTGCACGGTTGTTCCCATTGCAGTTGAAGAAAACTGTTATGTAGTTACTGATAAAGTCAAATATCTAGATATTGTATGTTTGTATTAGGGAAATTACGTAAGTCAACCTTAATAAGCCCAGACTTGATTTTATTTGCCATATTTAAGTGAAATCAAATGATTAACGTTTTTCAACTTGTGTTATTAATTAGGAAATATGTAAAAATAGATTTCTTTCATAATTTCGTGTAAAAACGCCTGTAGGATATAGGTAAAACTGCTTGAGAAACTCGAAGAGCATTCATGTAAAAAGGCATAGGGACCATAAAAATAATATGGGTCCTTAGTTTGGTGTTCACTGAACTCTCGCAGGTAGCAAAGATTATCGTACAGTATTATCAAGAAATCGGACTTCTGGTCAATATTTCGAGCCAAACCTCCAAAGTAAGATGGTTGCTATACAAGCGCCTTGTAATAAACGGGAGAAAACGGAACGAAAGACTTGAACATTGTAGACGCAATAAATATTATTAATAAAACAAGAGAATCCCTAATTTCAACAAAGCAATAGGAAAATGTAATTCTAAACTTAACATGAGAGTTTTTTATTCATTTTTATTTCATTCTCTTCTGTCAATACTGCTTCCTTTTTATTTAAGGCTGTGTCTAATTCCTCCCTGCTAAATGTTAATACTTGTGTATCTACAAATTTTAGCGTACTAAGTTTTTGCCCTTGTATTTTTAAAACTGTTCTGTAGAATATTAATGGAGTAATATTTCTTCATTTTTATAAATTATGTCTGTTACAACATAAATTAAAAAGTCAATGTTTTGAAAAATTATGCATAAAAAGTGTATAAAATGGGTATTTAAATTAGATAAAGGTACACCAGATTGTCATTACAAGAAAATAAAATGTGGAATGTTGATGGAGGAAGCTAAAAAAAGAGTATCTAAACTAAAAGAAGGAGATATAAGAAGGGAAATATGAAGGAGCAGGATATTAAAAATAGGTAAAAAATGTATGTATGAGAGGGAAAGAGAGGAGGCACTAAGGGGTTTAAAGGTGGATCAGAAACAGTTGAATGAGTGGGGAAGGAAGGGAATTTCTATAGCTGGGATAATGAGGGTAAGAAGTAATGTTTAAAAAAAAAAATGAAAGTACGTAAATAGTGATAATCGTAAATCGATTTGATAAACTAAAAAGAAATATTAATGTATAGCGGGTAACCCTCACAATTACATCGTTACTGTGTCATTTATACAGTAATTCTGCTCGTATTGGGGCTGTTAGATGGCTGGGACCTACCGGGATTGTATCGGAATGTGAACATATGTCCCGGGTCTTGAAATTTCCACGAATGTTCTGGAAAAATTAATACTTCATGTAAAATGAATCTATACAAAAACAAAAATGAAATTTCAGAAAGTCGGAATTCATACCGAAATTAATTCAGGTAAATTTTACACTGAATTTTGAAGTTCAAATAAAACTTACGACACCATTTAAAAGTTTGATACAACGACAAAATAATGGAAGGTTTGAAAGGCAGAACTTCAGTTGAGAATCAATTTTAGCTTTGTCTTGTTCCAAATTTGTTACAATGTTAGATAGACTAGAGGGCTAAAAAATTAAAATGTTAATTAGCAGCTGTTAAAACCTGTGGTGAATACATATAATTGAAAAGGTTCTTTTGTGCTTGTCCCGGAATTTACCCGAGCAAATCTGGTAATCAATTCGTATAGTGAGTGACAACTTTAGTGGATTTTGATATTTTATTACGTTATCTAACTTTGCAAAATCTGAATAGCATTGGCGGTATAACTCACAGAGATGACACCTATGAGAACAGAATTTACGTTAATAATAGCGATTAGGTACATCCTTTAAACTTGGTGGAAAAGAATTAGCAGTTCGTAATTTTGCTTCTAATTTAATTTCGCGGGTGCGGATACTAAAGTTCATGCGGATCATCCGCAGTTGCACATGCTGATATTCATTATAACCCTAGTACAAAAGTTCCTTATAAAACGCAGATGAAGATCAAGAAAGGATTTTTTTTAAAATTCGACCTTAGAGGAACGAAAAGGATGCTCAAAGTTTGATGTGATAAAGGCACAGTCCATAAAGATTCCATATGCAAAATACTACCCTAAAGGTGTAAAATGGGGGTTTGCGATATTATCGAATTCCACGCAGATGAAGTCGCGAGCAACAGCTAGTATTTTATAATACAAACACTGTTTTCTATATTGCCTTACAAATTTCACATTTGAGTCAGGAAAAACAAAAAAAATGAAATTGTTTTATAATTCTCTAAATTTAATCAACTTTAAGAGTGGTTTTGTGCCGGTCACTGATAGACCTTTTACAACATATAAGATAATACTCATGCACCTTTGTAAAAGTACGTACTATAGTCTAAGGTACAGGGAATTCGTTTATTATGACTCCGCCTATATTGACCAACCGCTTAATATGAAGTAATTGCAGTAGTTTTTATATTAAGTTCTCTGTTGGAAAGTTTGGATAAGTATAATGACTCCTTAAAAATTAAAAGGAATACTCACCCCTAATTACCACAAATAATTTTATTTGAGCGGACACGTGTTTCGCCCACTTCATACGTGGGCATTATCAACGTGAGACTGTGGTAATTAGGGGTGAGTATTCCTTTTAATTTTTAATTAATATTTACCACAGTCTCCTCTTTCTAATTTTTTATGACTCCGTTTAAAATGACATATTGTTTATTATGACTGATTCTCAAGAAATCATATCCGGTTATAGTGACCCAAATGATTAATAATAACATTTTTGCTCATTTTTCTGACCGTTCTTATGTATATTGATATTACAATTCATCTTTTTTTTCTTTTTCTGTTAACAAATATATACAATTTGTAGTTTTTCTCTCTATTAAACTATAACTATATATAACTAACGAAAATAGAAAGTTGTTTATTTTTTAAGACTGTGCTTTGTATGACGTGTTTGTTATTTCCCTTGGATGTCATTATAAGCGTATTCTATTGTATTTACTACAATAAAAAATTTTGAGATCAAAACAGCGTCATATACAAGTTGATATTAGAAATGAATTTAAAAGATATAAGCAGTTTTAAATAGGTCCTAGATTGTAGATATTGGTGGTTTTTGTACTTTTCAACAAACGTCTAATCCTTGGGTATTAGGTATACAAAATACGTTTAAAGCACGTGTATGTTTAAAATTATAATTTTGAGTGTAGATGAATGTTAGCCTTGATTAGTAAAACTCTTTACCAAAACAGGTACACTCCAACAAGGTGACGTTTCCCGAAACGGTTAATTGAACAGGAAAGAGGCTGACGGCACCCAAACAGTGCCATAATATAATCGGCATTACCATTTTTTGTGGGCGTCGCAGCAACGTACGTTTAATGCATATTAATCGCTATCGTTTATTTCAGTTTTGCTCAGCGAGAATATTGAAAATGAGGACCTGCAGTTCAAAACGCTCAAGATAACGGACTTTGGCTTGGCGCGGGAGGTGTACAAGACAACCAGGATGTCGCAGGCGGGCACATACGCGTGGATGGCCCCCGAGGTAATCAAAGATTCGACGTTTTCGAAAGCGAGTGACGTGTGGTCTTATGGAGTTTTGCTTTGGGAATTGCTTACGGGGGAGATGCCGTACAGGGGAATCGACACACTGGCTGTGGCCTACGGGGTCGCCGTAAATAAGCTCACCCTGCCGATACCGAGCACTTGCCCGCAACTATGGCGGGATTTGATGAACGGTAAGACAAAGAAAAATCTTGACAATGATGCCTGTTTTAGTTAGTGCGTTATGCCGTTAGAATTGTCAATAACAAATGGCTAGCAAAAAGTAGTTTTTATGATTATTAGCAGGGGCGCAACAAGGGGGGGTCCATGGGTGTCCTAGCATCCACTCGATTGGATTGGGCTCCCAGTCAATTTCAGTCGATTCAGATAATAACCCAATTTGAAAGTTCGGTTCAAATAGTTCAAGCTCGTAATGAGCAGCCGAACTCGATCTTTTTAGATTATGCACACCCGCAGTATATAAATATTTATAGTATTATGATGCGAGCACCCAGTCAAACTGTAACGTTGTTGCGCCCCTGATTATTACAGTATAAAACATTTCGCATATTGCATTCGGTTAAAATAAATGCATTTCCAAAGTTATAGGGTTAAAAGCAAAAATATTTTAGTTAATAATAACAAAGTAAACATTTTTATAAGATTACTAATTTTTGGTATGCAACTAAATTGATTTTATTTTTTGAAAGTAAAACAGACCTACTTTAGTAAACGAAAATTAACTAGTATAAAATAAAAATAATAAAAAAGATTGCAGTTTTGAATAATACACGTAGTTACAAATAAATTAGTTAACAAATTAATGTTAATAAGTTTCTTTTTTTACTAAATTTATTAAATTTTCTTAATGGTCATTCACCTCTAATTGAAACAAAAGTTTAACTTATATGGAACATCGTGAAAAAATGTTTATCTATTGCTGATCGCTTTTATGATTACTGTACAAAGGCGATTTATGATTATTGTATAAAAGACTATGCGGTCAACAAACTCATGTGCAGCCCATTTAGAGTTCCGAGTACGTGGTGCACATATCCTCGGTATATGCTTGTAACTTGTAGCAGATGGGGAAACATATGTGGAAGAGGCGGAATTTCAAGAAACAGACATTACAGTATCCAAACCATTAATGATATTTAATAAGCGGACATCACTTTATTTTGGATGTTGTATTAACAAATGAGAAAAATTACACCCTACTGTGGTTTTAAAATTCTACTATTACGATATTTTGTTAATTGCTATCGATATGGAATTTCTTTTTTGCATTTAAATTAAAATTAATAAATTGTTTTGCCAATAAAACGAGTTTTTTCCGCCAGTTTTAAAAAAATAAAAAAGATGAGCTGTGCTGAATTTTGATATGCATTAATGTGCTACTTCGCAAAATGCGTTATCAACAAAAAATATTGGGGGCATTAATTTATTCAAAAATAAGTTAGGTACGCCATTTTTGAAAAAAAAATTTTAAATTTTTTAGGTAATTTGACCTACCGTAACGTAACCTCCAATGGTATATTTTTGAAAAAAATTATATGTGTATGTGCGTCAGTCAGCACATTATAGTACAATATGAGCACAATTCAGTGAAACTTATTTTCTATTTTTTACCGAACATTTTAATTTCTTTTGAATATTTCGCATGTTGTAAATTACAGCTTGTTGGCAACCAAATCCTCACAATCGACCGGCTTTTGATGATATTCTAAAGGCGTTGGATCACATAGTTCACTCGTCTTTCACCCAAACACCTCATGAAAGTTTTCACGATATGCAGAAAAATTGGAAAGACGAGATCGAAGAAGTTTTGTTAGAACTTCGCAGAAAAGAAAAGGTAAACATTCTTAGCCTCAGTGTTTTTTTATATATAAAGAGATTTTAATAGTGAATGACCGATTTATTATACGATTATTTCGATTTTCTGCTGCTATTTGTGTAATTGTACCAGGCTTGTAAATCTTTCGAAGAGGTAACTTTTTCATTGTTTCGCGATCTATGTTTTATTAATAGGTTTTTTCCTTAGGAGTTGCGATGTAGAGAAGAAGATCTCAATAGGGCACAACTGCAACAGAGGATGCACGAAGAGCAACTACGACAGAAAGAACAAGAGTTGCAAGCAAGAGAAATTGATTTACTAGAAAGAGAGCTGCATTTCATGATCAAACAACAAACTCCTACACCTATTAAAAGGAAAGGTAAACATTAATTTTAAACATAAAGTATTTTCTTTAAATATTTTCTTCCCCTCTATCAGTCACTGTGAGCTTGAAACTGTTGCTTGCTTCGAGTGGTCGAAATTCATTTTTGTGAACAATCACTTTCGTTGTGTTAAAAATTGTGTGAAAAATTAATTTTAAAGAATTTTTTTGTAAATGGGTATGCAACACATCGTACACTTCAACATAAGAAATTGCTGATACTAACTACGTAATACTACATTGCCCTGTGCTGACAAGCACTCATAATTTCTCTTATATATATAATATTTAAAGGTAATTTCAGAATGTGGTTCAAGTTTAAGATATTTCATTCCAGGAAAGTTCAAGAGATCGAGACTGAAGTTCATTAAAACAAAGGAGAGCATTAGTTTGCCATCTGATTTTAGGCATACGATAACAGTTCAACACACATTGGATACTAAAGGACTAAGCAGCGCAATTTCACCCAAAAGCCCTCCTGGTTCACCTGCTATCAATACCATGCGTGTTTTAAGTCGTAAGTAGACAAAGTTGAATATTAATTTCGCTTCTGGCATGCGATTTTTTTTCCTTTGCCTTACGTGCATGGTTTTTTAAACAAAGACTATGTATCAACATTCTGTTTTGTTTAGTAGCGCTGGATGCAACACTATACAGTTGCACTTGAACTATGGAGTGTAATGTTTTATGATTTATTTTTTTTGTTATATATATGAATCTAAGTATTTTTCTGTTTATTCCGAGAATTGTTTTGATATTGTCGAATTAATGATGCTTGATTAAAATATATAATCTCTCATAAATTTTCTTAAGCATCAAGTCTGTAAAATTTAAACACTAAAAATTATTTATATATACAATACAGTACATCGACAAATAGCTTTTTTGAGGGATATTTGGCTAATCATAAAAATTATCCCAATAATCACCTGAAGATAGTTTACATTTGTTTCTTTGATGATAAAGGTGGTTTTGTCAAAGGCTTTTAACAAGGTGGGGCTGAGGATCGAACAGTAGTGTTGTTTTATCTTACAGCAAACGCAGACGGTGTAAAGGGCAAAACCTGGGGCCCTAGTACATGTCATCAACGTGAACGGGGTCAACTTCATCCGTTAAAATCGACACCCCGTCCCACTTGTATATGGTCAAAAAGCGCGCCCAACTTGGACAAGTCCAGGACGACACTGAATCGGCCCTCACATGATATAGGTAAATCAAATCTATCTGACAAATCAGTGGGTGACAGAGGTGGCGATAGCACGCAACCTTCCTCCAGGTTGCATTACTTTCTAAATAAAGCTTTTCCGTTTCGGAGTGGTACTTGGCGTAACAATAGTCTGCCTACAAATAACGCTTCTTTAACCTCGCCTCCAGGTTCTGTACTTGTTGAACAGAATCGATTGAGTCGGTCAATCGGTAATATTCTAGAGTCGCATTACGATGCTGTGTTTAGTACCGATAGTTTCGTTATTGCGCGAGGTATTAGCAATAATAATTGCAATTATGTCGATTTGAATGATGCGCAAACTCCAGAAAAAGAAACCGACTCGTTTCCGGAAGATTAAGCGCGCGTATGATTGTCTAGCATATTCGTTGTACCTATATAATAAAACTTTTCTTGTCGATTCCCGTTTATAAAAAGACAAAAACACTAAGATTCTGTCTGTCTTTTTTAATCTAGTTGCTTCTAAGGAAACGTTCCTACAGAATGCTGTCTGTAAGTGATTCAAATAAGTCTTGATGAAGTATTAGGTGTAAAGTTTTTTTTTTATGTTTTTAAGCACAGTAGCATGTAAATTATCGACAGAGCATTTTTTGTGAACATGGTGTTAAATCGACCAAAGGGAACGGGTACATTCATTCCTTGTTGAAAAGTATCAAAATTATTTTATATAAAATGTGACTCCAGTTTGATTTATGTATGAGAAATGTTTGTGACACCGTTAGAAAAAGAGAAAATAGGTAAATGGTTAATTTTGAAAACAGGCAAGCATATTTTCATATTTTAAATTAGATTTTTTGAAGAAAAAGTTATTTCCTACATATTTAAAAATTAAGGTTTTTTAATTGTTGGGTTTGAGCTCGTTAAATTCTATAAAAAATTACGTTAATTTGTATTTCTGTTTTTTTATTACACAATATGTTTAAAGTAGTATGAGATTGAAGTTTAGACTTTGTGATGAATTTACCCGAATATTTGGTTCATTTAAACGTAGCATGTGATATTTTTTGTTAATTCGTATAAGTAAAGCTTTTGCAATAATAATTTCGTTTTACGTATGTAAGTAGTTTGGTTTACGATAATGACTGTTGTAGTTAGATTAGGTTTAAACGAGCTGTGGATTTCGATTAGTAATTATGATTATGCCGCTTGAACACATTCCGTCGGTTTCCATTCCCTATTATTTTTATTTCCACCCTTGTAGACATACGTTAGTAAATTAATTTTTTAAAATGAATGCAAACTTGTGTTCAAGTTGTGTACAATAATACCTGGTGATGGCTTAATTTTATGTACAATTATTTTAAATAAAAGTGTAATAATGTTTTNTTTTAATTAGTTTTTTAGTAGCAATTTTGAAAAAGCATTCAGATGTAACGCTTTTTGTTTTAACATTTTCAAAAAATCAGAAGTTTCTTCTGAAATAAAAAAATATTAATTTTAAAAGCTTGACATTAATTTTCAAATAACAAAATTAACTTTTCACATGGAATTCGGTTTTTACAATTTATATTTACTGCAAAAGAAATTTGATTAGATTTTGTACTACTTAGGTATAGGAATTCTTTGCTTGTGTAAAATTGTTACGAAATTTTATGGTTATAGTATTTATAAATAGCTATCAGTTAATTTTAGAAAGCAACTCATAAATCGAAGGCGACAAATATCAAGTGAAAAAGGTAATTCTGTAAACCGAATTTCATTTTGAAAACATAATTTCTTTTTAACTGCCCATATTAAAAATAATCAAAAATCAATCTCTTCAAATATGATACCGTAATGACACAAACATTATCTTATTTTGTTATGGTTTAAATTGTGCCGATGACTGATATGAAGCGTGTGCTAGAGGTTTTTATGTTTGGCTTGGCAGATTTTGTCTCTCCGGAGGATTGGGGTCCTGAATATCCAATAGCTGCTACCCTGCGAAGTAGTGTACCTATACCTACCCTTTACTCTGGAGATGGTAAGTCATATTACGTGTTGTCAACAGTTATTTTTAACTATGTGCTTTGAATTAGGACTGCGATCTAGGCATAAGCTTAGCATTATAGAGTTAGTTCTGTACAACATGGCAGCTCTTCTCGCGGGTGTGGCATCCGGATATGACGTTCGTTTATCTAATATTTCCCCGGTACATCCCAGGCTTCAACCGAACAGGTATTTATTGCATTATTTATTAACAAAAACTACTCACTATTTACAATGTTTTTAAAGTATAGCTGTTTGTATCAAACTGTGAACTAGTTACAAGTTTGTTTATTAATAAAAAAACTAAATTTTTTAATAATTCCGCATATTTTGGAAAATATAAGATCTATTTTTTAAACATCAGAAACATATTAATGAGGTTTCTTGGAAAGAGAAAAACTGTTTTAGAATGCAATATAAAATGAATTAGTACCATTTTTTCAAACAAATACGAATATAAGGCTTTGAAACTTATAGGCCTGATACAGGATACGAAGTACAGCCGTGGAGGCAAGATAACTATGAATATGAATATTCATCGGCAAGCGGTTATAGTCATAATACGTATCATGGCCCAATAAAACACTACAGACCCATGCTTATGGGTTCCCAATTGATGAACGTACAACACGAAGAACAAAAAAATGTAAGACTTGCTGCTGATTCACCCCAACATCAGTCTTCTTTAACACCTAGCATCTCTCCTCACAGAAGATCTAGTGCAGCTAGTAACGAGAGTTCTGAGCAGTACTTTGCACCTTACGACAGAGCTACTACAATTTATGTGCCAGGTGATTATCAAGGATGTCAGAGTGAAGGTACTCACTGTTTGGGTTGTTGTCTTAGAAATGAAAATAACTCCAAACCGGATCCTTCGTTCGGTTTTGTTTATACTCAAGGCCCGGATAGCACTTACAGCTATGGATCAGATTATAGTGGCACAACAACAACTCTTTATGGATATGGGACCGATTACGCTTATGATAATCCTAGCAGCGTAAGCAGTGGATCCAGGACACCCCAGAGATTACCATATCAGATGCACAGGAGAACCCCATCGAATATATCGAATTCCAGTTCTACAAATGCGAGTGGTTTTAATATTAATCCTAGCTTTCGGCTAGATGAGGAATGTAGTTACACCGGATCTAATTATTTTAGAAGACCTCACGTAGAATATGAATACTCTGGTAATTATCTGCGTCAAAATTCCCATGATTCCCCAAATTTAGAAAGACCAACGACTTTAGAAACTTCTGGTTATGCCAAATTAAGATCCAGTCTTAAAAGGAGCAATTACAACATAAGTCAGGGACATTCCGGAGGAAATACTCCAACAAATCCTACACCGCCTGACAGCCTCACTAGTGATGACAGCTCATACGTTTCTGCAAAAGACAGTAATAGCTCCGCAAACAGGGTAAGATTTTCACCTACCACTCTCTTAGATTCGCCCGTACCTGGACAAACACATGATACTACGCTACCTTTGCAAGCTAGGAGAAATAGGACCCGACCCCCTTTAGCAGATATAGATAGAGAATTTTATTCGTAAAATTTTGATTGTAAAGCTCTTGTGTTTATAGTGCGTTTCTAGTCATAAAATATTCATTTTCTGCTCATTTTAGTTTGTGATGTTTTTTTAATTCTCTTTTAATGGCAGTGACTTAAAAAACAAATATTTTTTAGGTTTAGAAAATCCTTAAAACTCACAATGAATTAACGAAAAGTAATATTTAAGGCGAAGTTAATGCCGCGAATTTTTTTTTTGATAAAGGATCTGATGAAATTGCCCCTGTTGTATCTTATAGTTATTAATTGCTTAAGCATTTTGACTTTAGTTAGTTAGCATAGGTTGCCTTAATTCTTTTTAATTATAAACATATTAGAAAGGGATATTTTGATGATTAAAAAAATGTTTTTATTGTAATGCTATTTTTTGTTTAAATGTTTAAACAATCAATAACTTATTAAAGCTAAAAGATATAGCAGGGGCAATTTTATATTCGGAAAGGGCAATCTTTTAATCTGTCAAACTTAATTAAAGACTTGATTAAATAATAATACCACTTTCTCTAGCATAGTAAATTAAAATGCTCTGCGGTCATATCGATGTTCTGGTGCCATAAATTTATTTGCAATAAATATTTCCTTAAGGAATACTGCAAAATATTTATTTGCTGGATATCAATTCTTATTAGGACAACAATCTACGGGGTTGATATTTTACCGTAGTGTTATTTGATTGACTTTTATACATGATAAATTTAAAAGCATTTATGTACAAATACCAATGGGATTATTTGATCAATGACCTCAAACTACATACATATTTTATATTAATTTTCATTTTTGCAAAGTTTTGTGCCATTAATTGTAACAGCCATAACAAAACATATATTATATGTACTACTGGAGCAACATTAATAACCAGTACGTCTGAATTGATTTTCTTTTTAATTGTTGAAAAATTAACAGAACCATTCTGTTTTTCAATGAAGGAATATATTAAGCAATAAACACAATAGCTTCTAGTATTAAATTTTACTATTCAGTTATGACATTGTAAACATGTATCTCGCTCAATTTATCAATGGGTGTATTTAATAAACAAGTAACTGCAAGACGTCATTTGGCAAGTTCGGTTTTTATAACTAGAGTAATAATTAACTGTACACATATACAATCTATAGTGCCTGATAAGAATATGACTTACATGCTTAAAAAATTAATTTTTAGTCATACTTGTGCAATGTCTAAAATGTATTTAGTTGAATGAATACCTCTTCAACAAAGTCGTCTAATTGATTTAAATTTATTTATTTATTTTATATCAGTAGCAGCTGTATGTATAATATGACTTCTTTTGAACATTCCAAGGTTAAGATGTATTACCATTAGTTGTATATTTGAAAATATCGTTTGTAGAATGAATAACTTATGAACTCTCGGCGTTTTTCAGATACTCGATAATTAGTAGTATAACTATTTTCAAACAATTTGTTTAATTAAGACTGTTTTATTGCATTCCATTTTGACAAATTTTATACTTTTTTATTTGTGTTTTTTTAAGAACCCACACTACTTTTACATCACGTATGTATAAAATTTTAAACGAACTGCATTTATTTCTTCATTTGCACAAATTGAACGGGTGAATTTATTCGCTCATGTATATATGAAAAAATTATAATGTAAATATTATTTGCACTTCAGCAATGGTTTTTGCAGTTTATAAGAAACTATTCAGTATTGTACTAACAAATTATTGTAAATATTGTATACATGAAGTTTAAGTAGGTAGCATGGCTTCCAGAGCATAAAATGGTGTCTAAAATGATTACTAAAAACGAAATATTGTACCATTCGAATTATAAATACTCATGCGTGATTGATATAAGTATTTAAATAAAGCATTTTCCATTACTTTTTGTGGATGTGTTTTCATATCTTATATGTATTGAACTAGTTAAGTATCGTACTATTTGTATTATCTATGAATTTAATTTAGTTCGTTTGACTCCGCCCCCAAGACCAGCACTGAGCTAAGCTAATTAATATGACTTTGATCTGTTAAACGAAATCTGTTCGGCCTACATTCCTTCCACTTCGGTTATGTATAACTGCAGTTAAACTACAGATGCTTTACTGTTCACCTAGTCTCTTGCCTTCTTTTGCTCTAACAAGGGGAGTGCACGACCTTGGGGAAACGGATTTCAATGATTTTCCGTGTAGCGGTAGTATACTATGTGGGTAATACCACTGTAGAATATTTCCGTCCAATGCCCAATAGAAGCTGAGAAAAATGCCTCTAAAGTTCACCCCGCACTTTATATAGAAGTTATGTTTAATCTAGTCTGAACGTACTGTGGCGTAGTCGGTAAGGCTCTAGACTCGTACTCCCGCGTACACAGGTTCGAGTCTAGCTAGCTGACTTTTTTTTCTCTGTTTTTTTTTCCTTATTTTTCATTATATTAAACATAAATATTTTATAAATATATTTAAATTCAAAATTATGAGCTACTACAGAATAAAACGCAAATTCTCATGAATATTTCAAATTTATTAATACAATTATTAATACATTACTTTATAATTGAAAAGCATGTTAACAATCAGGTGTACATGATCCTGAATGATAATTATGATAAAAACATTCGAAACAAACATTCTTTCTGCACCAAGAACGACAAATAAATGCTGTTTTGTTACAATTACAATGAGTTTTCAAAAGGTCCAATGAAAAACACGCTTGGTTTACATTTGTAAAAAATTTTTTTGTATCACAAAGTCCACTAGCAAACCAGGCATATTGTATCATTTGATGAAATATTGGCGCTGATAATTGGTGATGAACAATTGAATGGATTTTTAAGCAATCTTCTCGAGAATGAATTTCATAATTTTTGTCTAGCAGATCAGCTGTGCTCTGTAATCTTTTGATAAAATTTTTGACTTGTCTATAGAAATAAACATCGCATGGTTGAACTAAGGGAGTACATTTTGGAGGTATAATTTTAGTTGTACATGTAGGCATTTTCTCTTCATCTTGGAATATTTCATCGTATAATTCTGCTCTTGTTTGTCCTGTCCATGAATCGACTAATAAAAGAAACTTATTCTTCTGAACATATGGCATCAAAGATTTCACCAGAAATTTTTTATAGAGGATAGTGGTCAGTTTTCCTGATTTCGATGATGTGACAACAACATTCCTATATTTTTTTACATATTCCTCCACATGTTGCTTAATTCTTGGCCCGAAATCACCTGTAGGTTCTTGCAAACAAATGAAAACTTGTGGTAGTAATTTTCCAGACAATGTGATGCTATATTGTGCAGTATATGTGTGTGACAACTTATTCATATCCTGTACATTAGCAAAAACTGTCTTACTTCCTTTATCTGTCAGTGTTCTATTGAAATGTGATTGATATTGACATCCTGGAAATAAGTCTTACGATTTATNGTGCAGAAAGAATGTTTGTTTCGAATGTTTTTATCATAATTATCATTCAGGATCATGTACACCTGATTGTTAACATGCTTTTCAATTATAAAGTAATGTATTAATAATTGTATTAATAAATTTGAAATATTCATGAGAATTTGCGTTTTATTCTGTAGTAGCTCATAATTTTGAATTTAAATATATTTATAAAATATTTATGTTTAATATAATGAAAAATAAGGAAAAAAAAACAGAGAAAAAAAAGTCAGCTAGCTAGACTCGAACCTGTGTACGCGGGAGTACGAGTCTAGAGCCTTACCGGCTACGCCACAGTACGTTCAGACTAGATTAAACATAACTTCTATATAAAGTGCGGGGTGAACTTTAGAGGCATTTTTCTCAGCTTCTATTGGGCATTGGACGGAAATATTCTACAGTGGTATTACCCACATAGTATACTACCGCTACACGGAAAATCATTGAAATCCGTTTCCCCAAGGTCGTGCACTCCCCTTGTAAGATGTAGCAGAAGTAATCGTAAAAGTGCCTTTTTTCCCTGATAGCATAGACAGTGTGTTGTTGCTAAACGAAGGATTTAAGGCAATGAATTGGTAAGTAATAATACTTATTACTTAAAATTTTCATGTACTTATCCCAAAAATGTCAACTTATTATTATAATTATTTTGCTTAATTTTTAACAAATCGCTTGTAAGGTACTCTCGATTACGATTATGCACCACAAAAAACAAAAATCGAACACTTATTCAAAAATCGTTTGAAAAGTCATATTTCGTGGTTAAAATTATTTTTTATTTTAATTGATTAATTTTGGGAGGTGATTATTAGAGGTCATGGATTTATTGAGAGTAAAATAACAAAAAAAAGACGATTTGCATGAAAAAAATAGGACCGTTGTTGAGAACAACTTTTTTGTACTTGAATATCATCCTGGAAAGGTTCACTGCTTAGAAGAATTTTATAGGTATGTTTAATATAAATTAACATAAGAGTCACAAATACAAACAAAAGTCGAAGAATAAATAATATATATTAATCTGTAAATTTGGCAATAATTATAAAAGCATACCTAAAATAATAGGTGTTAATACTAGCGTATTTTTCAACATTTGTTTGTCAGATTTTTATAATTTTGTCTGAAGAGGACGAAATGTGTAAAGTAAGGATGCTCTCTCCTATTGCACCTAAAATTTTGATGGTAAAAATTACAGGTGTGTATCTTGTATATTATTCAGAATTTTTGTTTACCACATTTAGATAATTTGTTTGTGAAAGACATGTGTAAAGTCAGATTATCTATAACGGTGTTCTACACGTTCTACACACTTCCTTTTGAATCTAAAACATTACATTTGATAGTGAAAATTTAATGTGTTCGTTGCAACAAATAGTCGTCAGATGGCGATATACTGTCTCCATTTAAACATTACGGATGACGATGATTTTTCAAAATTCGCTCGCCATGATAGTTTTTGTATTAGAAAGGGCAATAAAATGTGTAGTCAGATATTTTGTTATTGTATTATCAACTCTCTTTTTGACGTAAAACATTGCAATTCCTGATAAACAAATTAAAGCTACTATATCTTGGATATTTCTCAAAATTCGTTTCACATTTTGATAATTTTGTTTGTAGAAGAAGAGGATAGAACGTGTTAAGTCAGATTATTTGTAAGGGTGCTCTCTACCCGTCCTTTTGAAACTAAAACTTTTCAATTTCGGTTGGTAAAAATTACAAGTGTATAGCATGCATATTATTCAAAATTAACGTACCAAATTTTGGTAACATTGTAGAAAACGGGGACAAAATATGTAAAGCGAAATTTTTTATGACGGTTCTCCTAACCCTTTCGATCCTAAAGCATTGCAATTTCTAATGGTAAAATTTGCTCTTTTCAACATTCCTTAGTCAGATTTTGATACTGTGTAAAGTCAGATTATTATTTGTAAGGGTACTCTTTAACCTTCCTTTTAAACCTACAGCATTACAATTAGATAATGAAATTTTAAATCCTTGGTTGCTAGAAATAGTTACCAGATGATGTGATTTTGCTATTTACCCTTTTTTGACCTAAAAAATTATAACTCCTGATAGAAACATTAGAGCTGCTATATCTTGCATATTTTTCGAAATTTGATTGTCACATTTTGATAATTTTGTTTGTAGAAGAAGAGGATAGAATGTGTTAAGTCAGATAATTTGTAAGGGTATAAAATGTATATAATTCAAAATTAGCTTACCAAGTTTTGGTAACTGTGTTTTTAGAAGACGGGGACAAAATGTGTAGTCAGATTTTTTATGATGGTTCTCCTATCCCTTCCTTTGGATCCTATTAAAATTACAGATTCTAAAACTTCCGTACTTTTCAACATTCGTTTGTCAGATTTTGATAATTTTGTTTGGAGAGAATGTGGACAAAATGTGTAGTCAGATTATTTGTAAGGGTGCTTTCTATACTTCTTTTTAAACCTAAAACTTTCGAATTTCTGATGGTAAAAATTAAAAGTGTATAACATGTAAATAATTCATAAATAGCTTACGAAGTTTAGTAAATTTGTTTGTAGAAGACGGGGACAAAATGTGTAGTCAGATTTTTTATGACGGTTCTCCTTACCCTACCTTTTATCCTAAAATTTTGCAATTTCCGATGGTAAAATTACAGATGTTATAACTTCAGTACTTTTCAACATTCGTGTGTCAGATTTTGATAATTTTGTTTGAAGAGGATGTGGATAAAATGTGTAGTCAGATTATTTCTAATGGTGCTTTCTATTCTTCCTTTTGAACCTAAAACTTTGTAATTTCTGATGGTAATAATAGGAAACGATAGTCTTGTTTGTAGATGATGTGAACAAAATATGTAAATTTTTGTTTGGGTGCCCTCTGCCTCCTTTTAAACCTAAAGCGTTGTAATTTGTGTTAGTAAAAATTGCAGGCGGAAAAATTTGCATATTTTATTTATTTTCATTTATCATCGTTCAATTCTTGTATATGCCACGGATCACACCATTATACATCGATTTGCATTTACATTTATTTACAATAACTGATATTTTAATTCATTTACGTGATATAATTTAAAATTTTTCTTAAATTTGGATAAAATCAATATCTAGCCGATAAAGTTGTTCATTTGCAAACTTCTGAACTCTACATATAAATCATCTTTTTATCTAAAATCTCTTAAATTATTATGCAATATTCTTGAGGGAACATGTAAATTAATTATTGCTAGTAATGCAGGCGAATAAGTATGTTTATCCATTCATCAATTCATATATGTATTATAAAAGGTCTAAATTACAATAAAATTAAAGTATAATTTTTAACTGTTTTCGTAAAATTAAACCAGTAAAAATTAACACAGTAATGATGATTCTGTTTGAATGTAATGGTCGAAATATTTTTGTAAATCTGTGTTTACAGTGATGGTTGTTTGT